GTACTCCAGCCTCCCTCTTCGCCGAGCCTCCCGGATGAGGAGATCTTTTTTCTCGTAGCGGTGTAATCGGAGAATGACTGGGCACAGTCGCTGTCCTGGGGCCGGTTTGGCAGTTAATGAGCGGTGGGCTCTGTCAATCTCCGGTGGGGACTGCAGTGTGTCCCCGAACACCTCGCACAGTAACTCAGAAAAGAATTTGGTAGGGCGCTCGCCTTCAATTGACTCCGCCAGGCCCAGAATATGTAGGTTTTGCCGTCTGTTTCGGCCCTCCAAGTCAGTGACTTTGGTCTTGAGTTTAGGATCATGTTGACTATGGTTGTCGGCCGCTAGCTCGAGGGACCCCAGGCGTTGACCATCTTCCACCGTAAACCGAACTCGGTCGAACTTAGCTTCCAGCAGGCTAAAAGAGTCTTTAAAGTCAGCAGCTAGTGCCTCGCAGTATTGCTCCAGTAGCACGGAGATAGCCTCAACTGTTAAGCTAGCTGCCGACAATGGATCGTCCGTTTTGGATGATTTACCCCTCTTCGGAGTCATTTTTAACTAGACCACAATAAGATAATAGACACCAATAAATTACAGCAAGTTGCAGTCGTAGAATGTCGGAATGAAAACGTGCAGGAGCTGCTCTCCGTTGCTTCTACTCCATGTGGCCACTTAACTGGAAGTCCAATCTCAGCCGATTTAAAGCAATACGCTATTTGATATCTTTAAACGTAGCAGAATCCCCGCAACAGCTGCAATGTTTATTTATTTTTAATCTCTCCACTTTTTTGCGATATAGAAGAACAATGACTCGCGCTTGTTTAGTGGGTGTGCTGCTGTGTTGTTTTCGCCAACAGCGAAAAGGGCAGGGGAGTGATTCTTCCTTGAGGACTCGGCAAATGAAAGACGTGTCACCCAGTGAATGATGCTGTGACTTCAGCAGCAGGGGGGGGGGCTCCTTCAATTAATGAACTCGCGGCTGTGTCACTCACTTGTGTACTGCACCGGCAGGATGGGGCTTCGAAGCACTGACTGATTCAGTAAACAAATCTTTTGAACGAATCCTTTTAATGAACAGATTCTAAGGATTCAGTACAGTCAAAAGAACTGTTCTTCCCATCACTATGGGACACTGCTTCAAAATGCTCCACAAGTGATTATTTATAAATATTATAAAAAGTGTTGAATGAAGAAAGCCCTTATTGCATTTTACTATACACATTGCATGTGCATAATTCAAGTTTTTTCTCATCTAAATCTTTAGTTGCTGCAGAAAGCTGAGTGTTACTCCCACTGTTTCATAAGTTTTCTCCCATCACTCCTGTCTGATGGATCCTCTAGTGTTCATTTATGGAACTCAGGTCGGTGAATCCAATTAGTGTTTCTGTGTCTGCAGTGTCAGGCTATGCTAAATCTGCCTCCCAAAAGCTGGGAGCCTATTAGCCGGCAGTAACGCCTCTGTGTTTTATACCACAGCTTTAATGGCTTCTCCAATGTCACTGCATCAAAGGAGCGTTGTCTGAACATGAATCTCGTCCTGCTAGGATCCTTCAACCCCATTATCCGGGTGAAGTGCCCTTCCTCAGCTATTTGTATCCTCCCATGCCACACGCCATTACCTTCCACTGGGTAATAGCTCTTTAGACTTCCTGTCTTCCTGTTGCTGTAAGCAGTAGGAAGAGCTAAACTTGTGCTGTTTTTTTTTCCTGGGATGCAACTCTTTAATAGTGTTGAAACAGCCACAGTATAAGATGGAACTTTTACAGTTTAAAGCCTGAAGTAAAAGCTGTGTAACCAGCCTGATTGAATAAAATGAAACATTAAAACTGCTGGAGTTAAGAACAAATGAGAAATCCTTAACAGCTAATCAAAGATAAACCATAAAATCAAAGAATAAATATGCTGTCTGTGATGTTTGGAAAAAAGATGCTAAAGCTCAAATTTTCCACTTTTTAAGGATTTCTTTGTAATAAAATGTATAAAAAGCTTATTTATCCTAACTTAGGTTTCGGAAACAAAAACTTTGTGCCTTCATGACTACTCCAAAGCTTTTTGGACTATGGCTTTAAACTATGGTAACTCCAAAATGTCTCAACAGTAACAGGCAAACAGTACCAAAGTTTTTACATTGTAGGAAAAGTTGTTGATTTAGAAGAAGTTGTTGATTTAAGTAAAACCATGTTGCTTTATGAAAATGTATTTTTCTTAATTTCCGTCATGTGGTGTATCTTCTCTTTTAAGGGTGTCTTTGGTTTTAGCCACAGACTGTATAAAATTCACGCACTGTTAGCATGAGATTACTGTTACCGTGGGACCTCTGAAAATTTGTGAATCATCCCCAAACATCAGTGTTCGGTAAGGTGTGCATTGGGTAAGTGAAGTCTGTGATTTACCCAAATTTACTGACATTCAAGGAGCTGTAGAACAGTACTGTGAGGAACCGTTTTAGCAGTGACTTCTTTGTCCACAGGGGGTTCAAAATTGACACAAACCAAAAGTTCCTCACTGGAGCTTTAAATCCCTCTCACTAATGCAGCATTTTGCCGGTATCTGGTGGTAGCAGCATTACCACTTTTGTGCATGTTTACATTTTGTGTGTCAGATAGACTCTGCATGTACAGCTGTTCCAAACTCAGTTGTTACTGTCATAACAACAGTGGTTTTTACAATTACTTTTGTATTCAGGTAGGGTAGGCAGGATCTGGGGAAGTGCCAGTTTTTGGGAGAAATCTTCAATCTAAACACTATCCCTCCCAACCAGTTTTCCCCTCAGCTCCTCCTCTCTCCTCCCACTCTGCTCCAGCAAGCCCTGCCCACAAACTCGCTCGCTCGTATCGTTTCAATTAATTTTAGATAAAATGCAGGTAAATACTTCAGAGAATTACAAATGGGGCCCAGTCAACGTTGAAGTAAAAAGCATTGGTGCAACTGTAGATGCCAACAGACTACCAGCAAACACAATGTTTGCAGGACTTCTACAACTAGGATAAAGTGACATACTCCAGGACCTTGGATAAACAGTTTAGCGGCACCACAACACACAGCGGGTCCCGTTGGACAAGGAAGGAGGATTCAGACATTTTTTCATACTTTCTGGTTGGTTTCAACTGTCCGATATCGTAGCACACTAACTTTGTTTGGGACGTCATTCGAGGACATGGAGCGTGCCTCACAACACAAGGGAGCAGCATCTGCCTCACAACCAATCAGTATGAGGGAGCAGGGTCCACCTCACAACCAACCAGGTTGGAGAGGTGGAGAACGGCTTTGTTTACAGTCAGAAGAAGGGCCGCTCAAACATGTTGACAACATAGACATAGGAGAACACAGCGATATTGTGATATTCCCAAATGTCATCAGTAACTAATAGCTACTGACTGATATTAAAAGCTTTTTTGTATATACACCACAAAAAGATGCTTCTTTAAAAGATTCCTGCCTACCCCACCTTTAATTCAGTTGTTCTGTTTGCTCTACACTGACAAGAAGAATAAAGACCTGGTTTCGTACGATGATATTTTATTATCTTTCTCCTGAAAAACTGAAGACGGCACTTCAATCTTTCAAACTTTCCCATTAAACTCAAATGAGATGATTATTTACTCTGAATCTGCTCAGTCATGCATCCACAACCTCTCCAGTCCACGCATGGATTTGAACAAAGAAACCCTGAAGGATAATGGAAAATTGATTTTTATCTCCTCATATCTGTTTAAATATGATTAACAGTGAGTTTGACACATTAATAATGACGTGCAGCGAGGAAGAGGCGATCAATAATTGACAAGATAAATACAGATAACGGTTCATGAAGCCCCCCCGGTGTGGGTCACTCTGATAATAAATGAAGTGTAAGCATGAGAATGCTAATCAGGAGTCATTAATAGGTGTGACTGACAACACGACGGCATCACCTGCTTGCTCTGAGGGTGAACGATCGCTCCGTTAATCTGTCCTACAGTCTGATAGAAACCTGGAGGTCACTCTGCAGAGTGCTGTACGACTCCCACATCCTGACCCCCATCCACACCCTCCTGAATCAGGAGTGAAGTGTGGACTAATGAAAACGAATGGCACATTTTATACACCACGTTTGAGAGGGTAGTGTTGGACGTGTGAACAGGCAAGCAGTGATTACGCAGAGGTTAACGGCCACTCTGACATAAGTGTATGACTCCTCATATTATGTGGATTCATTGAGCTGTTGAACAATTACCCCGCACGCACGCGCGCGCACACACACACACACACACACACACACACACACACACACACACACACACACACACACACACACACACACACACACACTCAGATAAAGGTGTTTGCCCACAGCAAGACAGATGTACTCAGCATTTATGAGTGCATACATTATATTTGAAATCAAACATTTGCTTAATGCTGCAGCAGAATATCATTTCAGTCCAGTCAGGTCTCAGTTTTCATGTCAAGGATTTTCTCTGTTCAGATATTTAAACCAGAATTATCACTTCAGGGTTGTTTACCCCTGGAACCGGTGTGGATGAGCATTCAGGGTATGCTTCCATCCCCTTGAGCCTGCAGATTACACCACAACCCTCTAACTACTGTCTTTTCTTTACATGATTAAACTAGATTAATGTCAAGAAACATACCAAAAAACTCAGGTATCCCATTATAAAAAGATACATTTATTAATGTTATTAAAATCTGCACAAAAATCATGCAACCTTAGGTCATGAGGTATTAAAACAGCTGAGTTGTGCTGTTGAGGGATTTTAAAGCCCCTGTGGGGAACTTTTGGCTGGATCAATTTTGGTTCCCCCTGTGGACAAGCCAGCCTTTGTTTGATCCTGTCCTTCATATGCATAAGAATCAGAATCAGCTTTATTGACAAAGCATGTGTACACATACACTACAGGCCAAAAGTTTGGAAGAGAGATCAGATTTGTACAAAAAAAGATCATAGTTTCATATATATAATTTGCAACACAATAAACATGACTATTGTGTAAAGAGTAACTTATCAGAAGACATTTTGACTATAATTATTAGGTATTTGAGTTATTGTTGCTTAGACTTTGCTTTCTTTAAAGTAACCTCCTCTGGCTTTAACAACAGCTTGGCATATACCAGGCATTCGTTCCACAAGTTTTTTAAGGTATGTTCCAGGGATTGCATTCCAAGCTTTCTTAAGTTCATTAAAAAGAGACTGCTGATTCGTGGGACGCGTTTTTCTGACCGATCGATCCAATTCATCCCGCACAAGCTCAATTGGAGAAAGGTCTGGAGACTGAGGGGGCCAAACCATCTTTTGAAGAACACCTTCCTCTTCTTTTTTGTCTAGGTAACCCTGACAGAGCTTGGCAGAGTGCTTAGGGTCATTGTCTTGCTGCAAAACAAACTTATGAGCCACAAGTCTGAGTCCAGATGGAACAGCATGGTGCTGGAGGATGGAGTGGTACTGTTCCTTCTTCATGATACCCTTTACTTCAAACAAATCTCCTACTCCATCACCTGCAAAACATCCCCATACCATGGAACTACCACCTCCATGCTGAATTGTGGGTGTAACACATGGTGCTTTCAGACGTTCACCAGTTTGTCTGCGGACATAGACTCTGCGTTTTGAACCAAACAGTGCAAACTTGTTTCTAGTCATCATAAGTCCAATTTTTGTGAGCTTTTGCCCACTCATATCTCTTTTTCTTGTTCTGTGGATGAAGTAGTGTTTTTTTTTTTGCAGATACACAACCCTTCAGACCAGCCTTTCTCAAACGTCATTTCACGGTTGTCAGAGATATGGGTTTCGACCTTGTCATGTTGATTTCCTCCCTTATTTGTGGTGCTGTCTTTCGCCGATCTCTCTTACTGGTGACAATGCTATGTTTATCCTCTGCTTTTGTAGTAACTCTCTTTCGTCCAGGTCTTTTTCTATCATCATAACTTCCAGGTTCCTCTAGTCTCTTCAGAGTGTAGTGGACTCCTTTGTTAAACACCTTTAGGTGTTTTGCAATTTCTCTTTCTGTGTATCCTTCTTTCCTCAATGTACAAATCTGTACTTTTGTTTCTTTACTCAGTTGCTTCTTTCTAGCCATTTTTGTGGTAGTTTGAACGCAGTTGAGATTTATTAGGATTTTTGTATGCAGACTCTCAAAAGCCAAAAAGTTGAAGTGAATAATCCAACTGTGATTTGTTTTTTGCTTTTGCACTGAAGTTGTGACTCTTGCAAATGTTTTCAACCCTAAAACTAAGCCCTTATTATCTTTTGCTGACATATATTTAGCAATGGTCTGTTAACATCAATGTATATCTAAAGGTAAATGGAGTAAAATGGTGCATTTCCATGAAAGCAACATCTGATCATGGAGTAAATACATCCCAAAATACATAAAACTCATGCTGGAATTGAAAAAAAAAGCATTGTGAACAAAAACTTGAAGTTACTCCCAACTGTTCGTCCTGTAATGGCCTTGCTTCCAAACTTTTGGCCTGTAGTGTACAAGGAATTTGACTCTGGGGAACTTTGTCCTCTATGTACACACATTAAACATGAAATGTTACAAATATTAAAAGGAAACACAAACTGAACTAGACATTTAACTTCTATATATGAGATAGTAGTGTGATAGTACAATGATGAAGAGTGCAGTAGAGTGAAGAATGGTTGTGAAAAAAATGTACATGTCATTATATTACAGGTGAGTTACGTACATGAGGTAATACATACATTATATTTTACATTATAAAATAGTGTCTACTTATTAAAAAAATCCCATCCTGCTGATTCCGACAGTTAAAGATTTCATTAAAAGTGAAAGATGGAAAACAAGGGTTTTTCTGCAGCTGTTTGCCTGACACCTACCTCCTCTCACACCAGCTGCAGGTGCTCAAAACTAAATATAAAAAAGGTATTAATTCTGCCAGTGATCGCATGCATGCTTTTGTTCATCATAATAAGCATCAATGTCATTTTCAGTTTTGATATCATTATTTTTTATGATGGGTATATTAACAAGAATAAATTCATAATATTAAAAGAAAGTCAAAATTCATTAATATAAAAATGCAATTTAAGTTTTAGTTTGACCTTCTTTGTTATTTTAAAGTGGAAGTTTTAAAATGAGGAGCATGGAGAGTCCAGTGAAGTAATACATACGTTTACGTAAGTAATAAGTTTTGTAATTATAATCCACTGGTAACCTGATATCAATTTACATATGATCGACTATAACTCGTACTTTTTTCACAAAATTAATCCTTGTTATTTTTCTAATGTTTACAACTTTTTTTTTTCTTGTAAATAAGGACTCTCTGTCCATACATTTAAGAGTTTTAATTTTACGACTTTAGTCTGAAATTACCACCCGTTATTTTTATACTTTGTGTAATCCTAATCTTCTGTTGTATAGATGTTTGGCTGAATTTGTAAAACATGGTTGAACAAATTAATTAAAAAAGGTTTATAGAAACTTCTGCACACTTCTGATCCAGTCTAGCATCAATCTGCAAAAAACTCTATGCTCTAAAAATTTCTCATTAGGCTCAATTAAGCTGAATTTACCTGACTAGTCCAGAAGGATATTTCAAAATATTATAAATGAAACTAACACCTGAATTACTTGCAATGTATTAATAGCGGCGTTCCCCCTGAATCCGTACAATGCTACTGTGCAAGTGGTGGTTTCAGGAAGTGAAGAAAAAACCCGGAAATACAGAGAGCTTTTTGGCTTCAAATCCGTATACAGGCGGAAGGCGGAAGTGAGTTGTCCATAGTATATACAGTCTGTGGCGCAAACAGAACCTATGTGTAAAAGGAAACCAAAGCTAAACTCCACAGAATCAAAACTAAACAAAAACCAAAGTGGGTGCCTGGCAGACACCAGCCTTCCAGGAGGGAGAAAGAGAGAGCCATCTTGAATTCCCCCAGCTTTTAAGGTCTCCAAGCAGGTGAGGCCAATCCCTGAATGAGAGGGGAGGGGCATGCACTTCAGATGTATCTAAAGCAGTGTTTTTTAACCTGTGTGCCGCAGCACACTTGTGTGCCATGAGAGATAGTCAGGTGTGCCGTGGGAAATTATCCAATTTGCAAATGATATGCCTTTGTCGAGTGTCTGTGCTGTAATGAAGTTAGCAGAACTCTTCTATGTCACTGGGTGGCAGCAGACGGCTAATTGCCTAGAAAAAAAAACTGAAAACAGAGAGAGACTGTGAGCTGTTGAGGAAGAGCTTTGTGTGTGTCTTTCTGCCATTCCTGCCAGGATATCAGCTTTGTTTTCATCTAAATGGCCAGGGCTCACACTGAGTGAGTATGAATAAATTTAGAAACTATATTACTAGCTATATTGTTGGGATGTGCCGAAAATTTGGCCTCCGAAAATGGCCAAAAAGTGCATTTTCAGTTTTGGGCCGAAACACTTTTCTCACAGAAACAACACGGCCGAAAGAGATGTTCTGATGACGCAAGCAAATAACGTGACCAGACAAGCGCGGACTGGTCACGTTTTTTAGAAGTACATCACAGAGCCAAATGTCTGTGATGTATTTCTATGTATCTGAGAACCACGAATAGCAATTTGCAGACGCACCCCCCCCCCCCCCCTTGAAATTTTTTTAGACCCTATGCCAAGAGTTTCTTCATGTCAGGTTTAATTTATCACCTGATATCCAAACATCCCGATCACCATTCCGAAAATGAGATGAACATTAACGTGGCAAGGAACGGGAAAATCCCTCCGAGCACGCTCACTCTTTCTGTGGCCGATTACACAACCAGATGCTGGTGGAAGTTTAACTTCTTCTCACTTTATTGATAGATTTAACAGAAATCAACATTGCAGACACATGCTCAGCTTCTGCTCTTGGCTGCTTGAAAGTAAACATACTGACGCTACTTCTTCTAGTCGCATCTCTACCGTTCACAATAGCTTTTGAGTTGTTTTTGACCCTGACTCATGGGTGCCATCTAAAGGTGTAAACCACTCAGAGCATGCTGACTCAAAAACTCAAAACTCACATTGCTAATGCATAAATTAATATCAATTTAATATTTAACATTAAGTAACCCATATATGCCCAGATACTAAATATAGTATGTTAAGGAAAAACCCCACTGATTTTTATCTGTTAGAGATAGCAACACAAAATTTGCTATGGATACTGTCAAGACACGTGGCTACACACACATACAAAAAAAATCTATTTGACGAGTGTATCATGCCTTACTTTGAACACGAAATTGACTTACTGTCAAAAATGCAAAAAATCACAAAAATGGTTTTACTCTGGATGATAGTTTTTGAGATACAGCCATTTCTGTTAACATACTATATTTAGTATCTGGGCACATACACTCTCCGATTTTTTCACTTATCACATAAACAGGAATGAAAACACAGGTTCCCATGGTCACATCTTAAAAGTCTTTTATGGACTTAAGGACCAGATAGGCTAATGTAAGAATCAGTTATAAAAATTGTTCTCTGATTTTCTTTTAGGGAGAAATGATTTAAAAAAAAAAGTAAAAGCCCAAAATGGTACAAGAAAGATCTTCCCACTGCATGGAGGAGGAAATTTGTATGGCATAGAGCCACAGAAACAGCGCGGAAGACTGAGGATGTGCACAATGTTGCTGTGTCACGGCTGTTGACGAGGAATAGATTTGAAGAAATCCTCAGATATCTTTACCTAGCAGACAACCACAATCTTACCCTCTGATGATAAACTCAGCAAAGTAAGATCCCTGGTCGATTTGATGAATGAAAGATTTGTCATCTTTGTGTGGATGAGGCGATGATCCCCTATTGTGGTAAACACTCCGCCAAGCAGTTCATCAAGGGAAAACCGATATGATTTGGTTACAAGAAGTGGTGCCTCAACATGACCCTGGAATACCTAGGCCAGTGCCATCCGTACGCTGGGAAAAGTGCCACAATGATGTCAGATGTTGGCCTTGGTGGCTCTGTGGTAATGGGCCTTTTGGATTGTCTACCAAAGGATGTTAGATTTCAGGTCACTTTTGACAACTATTTTACATCCCTTCCCCTTCTCAAGGCTCTTGCTGAGAAGAGAATTGGTGCCACAGGAACTCTGAGGTCCAACCGTCTACCCCATGAAGACTACCCCCATGAAGACCCCAGGATCATCAAAAAGAAGCCAAGAGGAAGTTACACATACCACTACTCCCCCTATCACAAAGTCGTTGTTACACAATGGAATGACAATAACGTTGTTACAATTGGATGAAACTGCCAGCCTGTGAACCCCTTGACGAAAGTTACTTGCTACTCCCATGCACAGCCAGAGAGGATTGAGATCCAGCAACCTCAGATTACCGCATATTGCAACAAACACATGGGAGGTGTTGACAGAATGGTTTAAAATATTAGCAACTACTGCATCAAAATCCATTTAAAGAAGTGGTGGACTCCATTCTTCATGTTCATGCCAGATGTGGCAATGCAAAATGCACGGCTTCTTTACAGGAAGCGCAAGGCAACAGAAAAGCCATTGGATTTTCTTGCTTTCAGGAGAGATGTGGTCAGGGTGTACCAGGTGATGTACCCAAGACAGCCTCCTCTATACACAACGCAAAAGAAAGAGTGTAGCAGAAGACATTCGCTACGATGAGAGAGGTCACTATCCAAGGCAAGCACAGTGTCAACGGCACTGCCATTATTGTCGACAGAGGGCAACAGTGATGTGTGTGAAATGCCAGGTCCCTCTTCACATCCACTGTTTTGAGGCATTCCATGAAAAGTAATGGATAGGCCAATAAAAAAAGGCATACTACACACTATTGATGTAATTTAAAATAATACAGGTACTATTTACTGTGAGTGATTTCATGCAATAATGAAATGTATCTGTTTTGCCCACTTCAGAACAACTGTGCTTGATGTGTTCGAGGCCCTGAAGAAAGGAAAGGGAGGCTTTAATTGTCACCAAGCAATGAATTGTTGTGAATTAGAATATTTAGCATTTTTGAGCAGTGTTGTTAATTGCTGACTTTTGAAATTTATAGTATTTGAGATGGAAAGATAATCTTTATAAACTAATTTATTTATTTATTATTGCGGTTGAGAATTGAGATTGTTGAACACAAGTCACAAGATATTTGGATGATATGTGGACTTTATTTTTTGACTGCGGTAAAGAATTGAGATTGTTGAACATGTTATTGTATTATATTGTATTTCACTTGTTGACTATTGACATTGATAAACATTTTGAAACATTCTTGACTGTGTATGATGGACATCAGAGAGGAACGGGGGCATAAACACTATGGTCAAGGTGCTACATTTTTTATCATTTCTCCCTAAAAGAAAATCAGAGAACAATTTTACAACTGATCCTTACATTAGCCTATGTGGTCCTTAAGTGCATAAAAAATTTTGAACATTTGATCAAGGGAACCTGTGTTTTCATGAGCGTTCATGTGACAGGTGATAGAATCGGAGAGTGTATGTGCCCAGATACTAAATATAGAATAAGAAAAACTGGTGCTGTAGCCACATACTTTGACGGATTTGAAACATTTTAATTGATTTGTACTTAGCTCGGCTAGTACCTCTGGTGTACAAAAGCAAAATATAAAATTTAACTATGGGCATTAATGGGTTAACACTGATTTATACAATTGCAATGCCTTGATTTTAGTGAGAGTAGTACACAGTCATAGCCATAAATGCAAAGGTACTAATAATTGGCATAATAATTTCTTTCAGTTTGCAGCCTTGGTTTCCTCATTTTCGGTTTTGGACGAGAATTTTCATTTCAGTCCATCCCTGCATTCCATAATATATACTTTGTTAGGCTATAGAGTGTAATTTCGGTTGGTGGTGTGCCCCATGATTTTATCAATGTAAAAAATGTGCCGTGGCTCAAAAAATGTTGAAAAACACTGATCTAAAGGAGGAAAACAGAGGCAGGAATACAGAAAAACACACGGACCCCAAGGCCTGTGGCTGTCACATCTGTGTAATGATATAGTAACATTGTGGACTTTTTAGACATGACAAATGAGACGACAGACAATTGAATTTCCCTTCGGGGATCAATAAAGTTATTCTTCGTTCTTGTTCTTACTCATTAAGGCAGTTAAGGTCTAATTTTTTCCAAATTAGACATTTTCTAGACATTTTCAAAACACTTTGCTCTGAGTCTAAAATAAAAGGTTTCACTTTATTTTCACTTTTATTTTCAATTCTTTCTGAGATTTCTGAGAGAATATATATACTTACAGAAACATATGGACACATACAACTGGATGTGATGGTGCAGAAGTGTGAGATCTGTGCAAAATCCCACTCTTAACTTATGATCCTTTGCTGAAGACTATAGGTTTTAGATGACAGGCCTCGTAAATGGGTTATCTAAAATCCAATATACACTGGAAGAGGGATGGCAGGGGAGAGGCGTGCTTGAATGTATCATCCTGATCCATAACTTTCCCTCCAACCAGGGGCCCATTTATTGTCGATTCCATCCGAAAGATGGTCTGTCAGTCGGGTGGGAGTCTCTCTGCTGTTTATTTTCAAATCAATACTCAATTACTATAAGGAAGATCCACTCCCTTGCCCATTTTGGAGATGAAATTATGGACTGCAGCAATAACACTTAGTCATGCCGCTGTCATTAACTCACAGCTGGGCAGGATAAGTACACCAGCGTTTTATAACAACTGGATTCCTGCCCCCCTCTCCTCCTTTTAGCCTTTTACTTTGTAATTAATCACTGTGAAAAAGAGCCTTCACCACATGACTGATGACCAGAGAAAACAATTTTCACCCTAAGAGCCATTTAATTTGAAACTCTCAGAGCTCATTGACTGCAACTCCCAACAACCCATCAATGCTAGTTTTTAATGCACTTCCTCTTTTGTTATTGAGAAGAATGGAGCCGCAGTGAAGGGCCCCGCTCCTCTTCATAACTCATGTCATTGATTTGCTAAATGCCAGACATTTGCCATAGGAGAGAGTCCTGTCAATGGCTGTGGCAGAGAGACCGTAAATTACTCCATTAGGGAGAGTTTTTACTTATTTAGAGTTGAGAGAGAAAGAGGACAGACTGTGTTGACGATCAGGGATTAGGTGAGGTGAGGTAAACCAAAGCTTCTTTTTATACACTAGGGGTCTGTTTAGTTAAAAGGTATTAAATATTTTCCTCGAGAGCAGGTGCTTTAGCCTAAGTCTATCTCCTCAAAACTTGTATTTTTGGGCTCTTCAGGCCTTAAATGCTGTTGAATCCTTGAACAACATCCCAAAAGAAGAAAACCTTGTTTTTTAAAATTGAAATGCTTATTTTTGGGCCAGTATTTGCTAATTCTGCAGGATCTGCACTTGATGTCAAACAGAGTGAAAATATCAATGAATTACCGTAAGATTGAGCTGATCAGACTGATGCTGGGAAACCGCATCACACAAAGCAGTCAAAGCTTTATTGAGGCCCTGTTTATACATACGTTATTTTCAAAAATGGAGACATTAACCATTGCTCGCACCTTTCATTTAGACGCAAACAGAGAATTTGCCCCTGAAAATGATGCTTATTAAATACTCTGGCGTTTGCATGTAAACAGAGAAAAACTGAGATTTGGGTAGCCAACAGCAGATTGTGCGCTGGAAACTGGGTTAAATGTGATGTCGTTTACAATCTACAGTCTATGTTTACAATCTATGGTGATCATGGATGCATGCAGAATAGAAGTCGCATTTATACTGGTGCAATCCCTTTGTATTTGTTTGCATTTGCAAATACAAGTGCTGCACAATGTGGAGGAGCACAGACGACTGAGTGCTTAAAGGTAATACTAATAATAATAATAATATCTTACATTTGTGTAGCGCCTTTCAAGATACCCAAAGCGCTTAACAACACACTACAAAAAACCTAACTAGATACCAAAAGCCTGAATAAACAAGTGTCGCTTCAGAGCAGACTTGAAAGAGTCAAGAGTCTGTGCTTGGCGAATGTTGCAATGTTGCAGCAACTTCTCCCTACGACACGAGGAGTGCGTCCACATCACCGGCAGCCTCGCTGGTTCTGGGTCCGACCTGGGCGCACTGCTGTCTGGTGGGAGAACTTTGAAAATTAAGTGGTTCTGTCGGAGGAGTGGCATGAAGATTTCCGGATGTTGCGGGCTTGCTGCAGTCAGACGGCATATACACAAGACCCAATTCCATTGAAGTTGGGAAATTGTGATAAAGGTAAATAAAAATGGAAGACAATGATTTGCAAATCCTTTTCAACCCATATTCAATTGAATACACTATGAAGACAACATATGGAGGGCTCCATTTTCATGCCTCGCCGGAGACATGCCGCAGGTGCGGCGTAAGTCAGGTCCGCCGCACCGACAAAGCTTTCCCAAGCACAATTTGGTATTTTGGTGAGCGGCGCAGCCCAGCGTAAGTATCCCCCCTCCCTAACTCAGCTCATCCCAGCAGTGTAAATCATAGCGAGGGAGGAGAGAGGGCGTGGAGTGGGTTTAACACAGCCGAGACCTGTTTTCACCAATCACATAAGCTCCTCTCCTTGCCTTTAAATCCGCCACCGGCAAGGCGTATTGTAAGCGCTGCATTGGGCGTCCTCCACACTCTCTCATATAAGCACAGATGGATTTGGTGTGTGTAATGTTGGACCCACTGGTAAAACAAACACCCTTTTCCACAAATAAAGACACTCACACAAAGTTGCATATATTCAAACCTCACGTGACAAAGGTGGGTTGAGCGCACAGATCACAACACAAACTCCAAAAATGGCATTAAAATCTGAACCATCTGTGCGTAAATGACGCATCGCGCTCCGTGGCCTGGAGCTTTCTTTCATAGATGTTGGCATATAAAATAAATTTGGCTCACAAAATGGAATATTATAATATTCGTATGTAGGCTTAAAGTAAAAAACTCATCTGATCACTGAAACAAATCATGTGTGTTTATTTACTAGATATTTAATCTAATTTAATGCGGTTTAAGCTGTGTTGATTCGGTCAGGTTGTGTGTCCAAACGCGTGCCAAACACGCTCATCAGATCAGATACAGATCAGAATATATCTATATAGATTTAAATGTATGTGCTGACTCAGATTATTAGTTGTTGTTGGTTATTTATTGCACTGAAATGTGCCTGACACTGTGGAAACCTGCCGGTGAGGCATCGGTGACGTATGGTTTGAATCGGCGAGCTTTCAGCACACTTTGCACGCCACTAGCAAGCACGAAAATGTCACTGTGCCT